GAGCCCCCTAATGCTTTCAAAACAAGATCCAAAACACATTTTTGGATCTCATCTGTTGCCAGCAGTAAAGATGATCAAACTTTCCATGGAAAGTTGTTACTAGAAATCCCAGCCAGAACCCTACACATCAAGACAAAGGAATATGAAAAATCACCCTACTCTGAAAAGAAGCAGGCCTATTAATACTGGCATTACCAAATCCACCGAGTTCTGTTCACCAGAACAGCCGAGTGGACGTTGATCATAACACTTCGACGCCGTCTCACACTTGCCGTGTCCTAGCTTCTAGTTTACATTATAATCCCCTCTCCTACTGACTGAAGTCAAGTGTCCTACATGTAGCTTTCAGTCCTGTCCCTGTTGACATCTCTGCCAGCAAACACTAGGAAATGCAGTGAAAGCTTATAAACAAGCTACAGTGGTTCCTGGCTGCAGAGGCAGAATTTGCAAAGGTTTTCTCCTCACAGGCTTCTTGACCAAGGAATAACAGACCAGGCCAACAGCAATGTGGCAAGGCAAGTTTGGGACTGATGCCAGCCCTTTGCTCCGTGTGTTGAGCAGGAGTGGAAAGCCATGTAGACAAAAGCATTTAGTTTCTTTTCTCACAAGCAACTCTCCAGCCCTGGGAAGTTCAGGGGCTGCTCCCAACATGTCCTGGTTCACAGTGATACAAGGCTGATAGGAGAAAAGGAGGGAGAAACAAAGGAATCTTTGCAAGAAAGAGAGGAAAAGTAATGAATGACAACAATAGTGATCGATACAAGATTTAGACCCTCCCCCCACATCCCCATTAGCAATGAAGGGAGTTACTTACTGTTTTATGAGACTTTGAGACTGGGAGGATTATGGCTAATACACAGATAAGCTGGAAAATGGCTCCAAAAAAGAGTCCATAGCGCAGCACATTCTCCATGAAGGTGGGCTCAGGGATCTCAGGGGGGGAAAAATCCAGCTCAGCAGCCATGACAGAAGCGTCTTCCTTCTCCTCTCACACACTTAAAAAGTCTGCCGTCCACACTGAAACAAAGAGGGGCTGATTTATTCAAAGCCAGACTCTCAAGCACATAATAAGCTTTATTGTGCAACATGAAAATACTAACAAATGACTTATGTTGGGGCTTCTAAGGTGCCTTTGACCTGCAGAGACAAGAATGAGGGCACTGGAACTCATATACTGGGTCCCATCAACTTTTGTGACTCATATTCTGGAATAGCCTTTAACAGACCAGCAGAGATCCGGGTTTCCCATTTCCCACAGAAAAAAGGAGAATAGCATGGATTTCACCCTTCCCTGGAGGAAAACACAGATTTCTCATTTTACCAGAGAAACCCATGGATTTTTCAGTTTTGCAAAGTGCTCTCTGTAGACAGGCAGAGTTCCATCCTGCAAGGGGCTGGGAGGGAGTAGGAGGAGGGTGGTCAGGCAGGGGGTGCCATGTGCCCCAGGCAGCCTGGTGAGCAGTTCCTCCAGGTACGTTGACAGGGGAGGGGGAAGCGACTGAGGCCCCATACAGAGGGAGGGAGTTGGGCAGGGCTGGGGCTGCTGTCCAGCTAGGCAGTGTGTGGGGCTAAGGGCTGCTAAGCATGGCTGTAGGCGAGGACTGTGGGTGGCTCATCTGGGGGGTGGGGCCAGCTCGCTGCTGCTGCCTGCACTCCCCAGGAGGCAGGGAGGACTTGTGCCCCCAGATCTGTGCACAGGGTAGGAGTGGAGGCAGGCTGCCCACTGAGGCCTCGGGCTCCTGCCCTGCTGCCCTCCCCTGGGACCTCTGCAGCCTGGTTGGTGCAACCTGGTACAGCAGGGCTGTGCAGGAAAGCTGCTTGCTCCTGCAAGGTCTGCACTGCCCTGCTGATGAGTCCCCTGCTTGTGCAGCAGCAGCGGTGGTGTGGTGTTGTGCCCCTCACAGCTGCTGCGCATGCAGGAGACAGGTTGCTCCTGCCCCCTGGGAGTATGTGCAGCAGCAGCTAGCACCCCCACCCACCTGAACCTACAGCAGGCAGACAGACTGGGCAGAGGGAAGCCAGGCTCTGGGCTGCTGCAGCAGCCGCCACCTCTGCCAGGGGCTGTGGACCCAGGTCCCTGGCCCCATAGACCTGGCAGCT